CAGCGTCGAAGGCTCGGCTCACGGCCACACGAGGGTCTAGGGTCCAGTCACTCGCCGAGTGATGAGTGTTGGTCAGTCCACGGAGGTAATCGTGTAGTGAGATGTTGACGTAGAGCCCATTTACGATGCTACTCCGGAGTTAGTTGAGCTTCCCCTAGTCACATACCTTTACCAGGAACATAACAGGAATTTGACTTACAGGCGAGTCACCTGGAATAGATCTTCGTCTTGCTTGGCCAGTGCCTTCCGTTTTGCGTCCTCGGATGTTGTCGGCGGTAGTGTGAAGCGCCCATTCTCGTTGATCTTCAGCAGAACATCGGCCACATAGTTGTGGAAGCGATTGTACATGACAAGGATCACGTTGACACCAGGGGGCTGACCCAACAGTCTCTTCTCGTGGAAGGTGTCAGGCTTGAGCATGCCGCGTTCCATAGTGCGCACCCTCAACTGGTCCTCATAGCTGGAACCATACAGAGGAGCGAGATCTAGATATGATGAGGTATCCGAAATATTGGGGTCGCGCCGGTTCGTACAGAAGACATCTATTTGGTCTTAGCGTCAAGTGGTTTGACAGCGAGATCAGCCATGTATTGTGAACTCACCGTGGATGATGATGCTTGCATGATAGAACAGAACCGAGGAGATGCCCGCGGGGTTTTCCCGGAATGTCCCTTCATCACGGGCCATGAGGACTGGATTTCAAGCGTTAGGATTATACTGTCTACACACGAGACTCGAGACTCACGATCAAAGAGAAGGCCAGGGTCAGGCTGCACTCCGTGCAGGGCCTTGAGCCGGGGTACCGATCTCGCATACGGACTGCCCGCTTTTCCAAGGTCGGGCTCTAATGGGTTCTATGGTATTGGAGTCAAATAGGTCAGTGATGTCTTCGTATTTCGGGCGACAGGTTGGGAGATTAGTCTCACGTTGTAACTTCCATCGGGAGTGCGATACTGATACTTATTTCCAAAGTACGACAGCGGGGGGTGCTCCAAGCTCTGCCAGAGCTGGTCGACCAGGATGCCGGTCAACCTCTGTCGGGACTTGGAGGTTCGCGGCAACATTGCAACGATGGCGATGACTTTTTCCATCTGCAGCGGTCAATCCTCATCAGCAAGGGCACTTTGAATGTGGACACAGATGGAAGCCGACTCACAAGCATTTGACGATCATCGATCGGCTTTCCTTTAGACTTCACTAATTGGATCAGTGTACGAAGATCATTTCTCTTGCCCTTGAGTCCTAGAGCCGAGAGATCTTTGACAAGGCCAGTGGCAAGGACCTCGGGATCTCCATATGACTCTCCAGCTTGGTATTTCACGTCATCTTCCACTTCTGCTAGCTCTTGTGCATGGAAGATCCTCGCATATAGCCGTTGCCAAAGCCCCTCTCCCGTCCCGGCAATGCTGGACAGAGCTGCTTTTGTGGCCTTTGGAAGGAAACGAGGCCTCAACTTCCATGTCGGGTGTTTATGGGAAGAGAAAACCTTGGCAACTATCTGAAAAGGGCGTGTCGGTTCATCTGCAAAGACCCGCAGGTAGAGAAAAGAAAGGAAGCAGAGGAGAAGAGCAATAAAAACGGAGCTCATCATTCAGGAAGGCGAGATTAGGCGAGGTACAGCTTAAGTCGTTAGTCGTATTGAAGAGAGCAAGCTATCGCGATATTTCTGCAATACAATTATGAGATCTGTGCCCGAATACTTATACACGAGGAATATCTGTTATAAATCAGCGCGCTGTGAGAACTGGGCCACCAATGCCAGCTGAAAGAGAACCCCTCGTCCCCGGCGCTTGGGGTAGCAGAGATCCTGAAGACCATACGGGGAATGCCGAGAAGACAATCACCTATCGATCCTGCGGACACAGCCCAGCTGAAAGCATGAGTTTCGGTCTAGCCCCGCGCCCAGAGCTGTCATTGCGACAGTCTGCAGACTTCGCCAGCCACCTGTCGTCTGATTCGTGGCAGAGACGGCACATATGCAGAGCAAAGGGTAGATACCCCCTCAGGTGGTCGTGCTTGAGGAGAAAATTCAGCCAGCCACTATGCAGGAGAGTGACAATGAGAGGGGTTTATCAAACAGTGTGGTTTTCAGCTGGCAAGATCAGCATATTGACAAACCAATCATCAGTATGAAGAAGGGGTCGGACCCCTACGGGACACAGACCTCATGCCGCGGCACGATCATCAGGAAAGCTGATCCAATGATAGATGCTGGATTGCATCTCGGCAGTTTTTACCTCACGAACACCCCCACAAGCGGTTCGTGTTGGATTATCCCCGCGGCCCGTCATGATCGGCGCTGGGCATCATGATTGTGGTCCCCGAAGGTGCTGCTGTCTGGACGGTTGCGTTTACCCTAATAAAGCTGGGTATTAGGCATGTCCCGCAATGTGCCATCTCTGAGTTCATTCTTTCTAGAACTCACCCATCTTTTCGACTGTTGGTTTTCCCATTTCGTACCTTTTATGTTGTTGTTCTACTTGGCCAGGATTTCTCCAAGCCATGCCACACTCAACTGTGGATCAGACTTCCAGCTTGGAAGCACCCTATTCTGGTCCCCGAAAGCTGGTACTCTGCCTCGATGGCACTGGAAATCAATTTATGGGGTTTGAGCGCGACTCAAATATCGTCAAAATATACCAGATGCTCGAAAAGAACACACCTGGCCAGTTTCATTATTATCAGCGTGAGTTTGTCCATTGAGTGGTCTGCATAGTAAAGTTAGCAACAAAGCGAATATTCAGCACAGAGCTCATACATTAGCCAGCCGGTATTGGGACCTACGTCGAAGGTCAATCATCCAGCTCCGGATTGCTTCGATATCCGCGAAAACTGCAGTCGAATATCATAACCACCATCGATCAAGGAGTAGGAACAACTTTTGAAAGCCATGTTCTCGCAGCATATCGCTTCATCATGCGATATTACTCCCCAGGTGATCATATCTACATCTTTGGATTCTCGCGGGGAGCATACACTGCGCGATTCCTAGCGGAGATGATCCATGAACTTGGTCTTCTCTCCCAAGGCAACGAAGAGATGATCCACTTTGCCTGGGAGACGTTCAGCAATTTCCAACAAGCACGAGGAAAGACCGATCGCACTGCGAAGGATGAGGCACTAATTTCATATATGAAGAAATTCAATACTACCTTCTGCCGCCCGCAAGTGCAGATCCATTTTCTCGGATTATTTGACTGCGTGAACAGTGTCGGCCAATTCGAGATACCCTTCCATCGCAAGTCGCACCAATACCTGGTCAGTCCGGCGGCTCGCCACATCCGACATGCTGTATCGATTCATGAACGTAGACTCAAGTTCAAGCCTGCCCTGGTGCTGCTTGACAAGACCAAGCCAGTGGATCTGAAGGAAGTCTGGTTTGCAGGGAACCATGGTGACGTGGGAGGGGGCTGGAGTCTGGCTCCCGGACAGTTCCACCTTTTGTCTGATACACCGTTGAATTGGATGCTACAGGAGGTTCTTCATCTGGAAAAGTCGGAGAGCAAGTTGTCCTTCCACACGCTCAATGTTGCAGACGTAGTGGAAAGAGAGAATGCGTTTCCCGGGAAGGAGGAACCAGGGACCACAGCGTATGATGTGCGGAAACGCACGAACCAGCCACACGATATGCTCATGTTTAATCGAGGAGCGACCTTCCTGATGGTAATCTTTTGGTGGATACTCGGTGTGTATACATCTCGCTGTGATGACCCAAAACTTGGTACTAACCTGCATAGAAATCCTCCCCCTCTTCACACGCCTCGAACTCGAACACGGCAAATGGGTTCCCCGGCAATGGCCACCCAACATGGGCGCGCCTCGCGATATCCCCGAAGACGCCGTTATCCATCCAAGTGTGCATGAAATGGTCCGGGCGGGCATTCTGGACCCAAAATCAATTCCACCACGCGGTGGGAATAACTCGCACCTGCCCTCCACTGCGCGGATTACTGGCGCGTGGAAAGCGATGAGGAAGAGCCAGGAGAAACAAATCTCGTCATTACTGCAGAAAAAGAAGGTTGTAGGCACGCCGAGGAGTGAATTTGATGGGAAGGCGGATTGAGGAGTATCTAGTTGTCATTCCAAATGAAGGGTGCTAGGCAGATGGTCGGTATTGTTCGAAGATTGTTTGGGGGTGATTCATAATGCCAAATGAAATAGGAGACGATATTAGCTGAGCGTAGAAGTCTCTGTCTAGGCTAGAACAAGCGATAGTAGAATCGAGTTCTGTGATTCTGCAGGATGTCCTCTTTGCGATGGTGCATTGCGGTCCATGTAAAGGGCTGATTCAGGTAATATACAGATGTCAGGTATGTAGTTAGTGTATCTATAATGAGAAACGTGGCCACATGAAGCGCCATCCTTGAATCAACCGTTGCTACCTCTAGCGACGACGTGCTTGCCTTATTTAAAGGACTTGAAACACGGAGTAAATTGACTGAGACTTTTAGTAAAGCAAAGGCTGGAGTGGGATGAATCGACCTGAGGTCAGCATGGAGCCTTATACTGACCAATCACACATTGAGAATACATATTATAACAGCTAGTATGGGGTGACTTCTTGGACTATTCTGGAGGCCGGCTGGGTATCTGTTTTTTATTTTCCTTCCTGTGCAGTCCAGAACTGGGGTGTGGGACCTATTCTTTGTTTTTACGTACAAACAGCAAGTGGCTTTCTCATGATGGGCGCTGACTGCTGCCGATCCATGAAAATGAATGGATCACCGAGTTTGATATCTACGAAGTATCTTCATTTTCATCGCTTAGAATTCGCGCAGATTCTATAATCAAAAGTGAGATGATCCTCATGCGGAAACGTAAACAAAAGTAACATTAATGACGTAGATACTCCCAATATGGTGTTGGTATCACTATGCCTGTATACCCTGATTGCCCGGTTTACGAGGAGGGCTGCATAGTCACGTGCATAGCTCTGTCTATTGAGGTTAAGCGAGCTCAATGGCAAGTTTCCAAAGCTCTATCTTTTTCATTCCCTCATGCTATACAAGGTGAAATGTACGAAACTGGGGGTTCTGGTTGATCCAATGTTTTAAAATGGCCCATGCCAGTCCAACGCGACGACTAATTCCGTTTTCCGTCTCAACGATCATCAGCTCAACGCCGAAAGATTCGGGCGTAGTATCACACAATCCTTCTCCTGCAGAATCATACCAGAAGTCTCCTTTCTCTGGTGCCACGCATGCAACGTCCATTCGATTATGAGGGGTGACAGAGAGTGCGAGCAAATTGAATTGAACAGCAGTTTCCCGTTGGTGAGCATGGTTGATTCGCTCCATATTGATAGAGCCAGGAATGACTTGAGCCATAAGATTTTAAGCTTCAATGACATGTATTTCTTTGTGTCGATAGACATGCTTTGCGCTCATCTTGAGCGGGTTGAGGTCAAGTGATTGAGTATAAACAAAGATGGATCCGAAAGGACAATCTTGACGCATGCTCAACGGAAATCGCGCGTCCATATCTTGCTTAGACATACTACCCCTTGGCATTCCATGAGCTTCATCACAAAGCTGCGCAAGGGATCTCCATTGGCCAACAATATTTTCGTATTCCTTCCATGTGGTTGTAGTGTTCAGTATCTTTGGCAGAGCCCCCGAGAAACACCCCCGCTTCCAGGCCATCACAACGGCAAGTCGTGCCAATATGAACTCTCTTGAACGATCCTGGCACTGCAGTATATATCCAACCGCTTCATTATCTCTCATCCAATCCGCTAACGTGATTTTAGATATACCTTTCATGTCTTCGGGTATGTTTTCCTCATCTCTCCAGTTGAGAGACTTCAGCTCATCCAGTTCGTCGAATCCCTCTGATTCCCCCAGAGTATTTGCAACGACCCGGAGAGCCGGTCTTCGAGTCAACCTAGAGGGTATCGCCCATATTGCTAGGGATCCTCGGAACTTTTCCCAGAGAGCCCTGTCGTATCTTGCTGATTTAAACTCGATTTGGTTTTTAATAGAAGACCATGACCAGGTGGGAAAAACGTCACCAGAAGTTGCAAGTCTCGTGGGATACGTTCCGCCCCTGGAAGTCCAGAGAATTGCATTACAGAACATATTCAGGGGTATGCCATAAGAATTGTCGGGTCCCCATTCCGTTTGTAGAACGCCTGCGAATGCGCGAAGAATATCACCTTCCCAGGTTAGTTCCCTCTTGGTAAACTCTTCCACCGCCGTCTCATATGAACTTGATGCAGTCCTTTCTTTAGAACCTTCTTCCGAGTAACCGTATAACTCATCGTGCATAGCTCTGTGGTGGGAACATTTATAAAATACGCTTGTGTCGGAGAATAGAACCTGTCGTGTTGCGAGCCTCCCCTCTTGGAACGTCCAGCCCCTAGTAGCCCATTTTGAATCCCGTAGGCAGTCTTCATAGTAGGGGACCCTGGAAACCAGGTATATTCCCTGTGTTGTTCCGACCCAGGATGACGTTCGCTTCAACATGTTTACTCCAGGAATACCGTGTTTCGCATCATCTCCAGCCAAGGCGACAATAGTTATGTATGACTGTGCATATATATCGCCCATAGAATTGAGCCAGTAAGCTTTCCTGTCAGGATCATCATCCTGCAATATGCAAAGGCAATCAACCCAGAGATATTCTATCGCCAGTCTCCTACAAGCAACAATGGCATCATCGATGGTTTGCGGTAGAATCTTGCTTTCTAGAAAGCCTTCCATAGCCAATTGCTCTATATTCTTCGTCGTTGCCTGCAAGCGAGTGCTCGTGGCTCCCCACACATAGCTCAGAGCTGCATACCGACATGTCACTGGGGCAATTGTAATGCACCGTTGTCTGGTGTCAATAACACGAAGCCCAGTTATGTGTGAGGCAGCAGGCTTCCTCTGGCAAGGATTCTTGTGCTCAGCAGAGTCATGACAATACCGTATCCACTCGGAAACCTTCTGCCAGTCGACCGTTTGTTGGGGTAAAGGTTTAGAGACAAGGTCTTGGCCACTGATAGGCTCTATTGTCCCAAGAAAGTACTTGCGATCTGCGATTTACGAGTCTTCAGTCACTGTTCTTCTAAGAAACGATTCTAACTAATTGAGAGAATACACACCGATAAACCAGTTTTTGAACATCTCATGGGATGATGACGTGTCACTCTTCAATCTTTCCTGCGAGCTTTTCAGCTGCAAAGACATCCCAAAACTGCATCTGACACCCCCGATTGTACTAGATCCGTAAAGTGGTCTATTCACATTTAAATGGCACTGCGAATCTGATGGCAACCCTGCTTGTTCCATAACCTCTCTGGCTACCCCTGCAAACATGCGGCAGGTGTTGCAGTAATGGGAATGTTCTTCTAAATCTTGGATAGATCCTAAACTTAGATAGATATCGTCCAGTCTGTTCGGAATCCAGCCATGTAGCGCATCTTGTGCAATGTCAGACTCAGATTCATTTAGCAGTAAACACTGTATCAGGTGCCTGAGTCTCATGTGTTTGCATCTAGGGCAGAGATCATCCTCGAGTGTATCAGGACACCGAGGGCAAGCTTCGTGGAAAAGTACTTTCTGGGTCCCTGGTCTATGGAAATCACCCTGTTTGAGACCATAACTGTTGTTAGTAGCACAGCATCCTGTAACCGTGCTTTCGACTAGGATGTCTTCCAGGCAGTCACAAAGTGGGCATATATTCTCATCGTCTATATCTTCCCGAGATCCTGAGACAAGACGCACCCCATCGTACGACCACTCCATGATAGTCGATCTTTGGATATTTCAGAGATTTTCGAAACTGAAGAATGGATCTTAATCTAGTAGATGAATTTTAACTGTAGTTCAGGCATATAATGACTCTAATTTGATAGGAGAGAACTGAAGAATCAGATCGCAGTAAGAAGACAAAAGAGGGTATATGAGTGATTGTTGGGCATCATGTCCTGATCCCGTGGGGATTTAATGCATAAATGCCCAACTTGGCCTGGATTCTGCATAACCGCCTATAGGCACCAACAAACTACTACTACTACCATTTCTAGCTGCATAAGAAGTAGCTTCCCAGACTACATGAGATAAGATAACTCCCAAATTAAGTCAAAACCAGTCAATGAATCAGCATTAGCATCTCAACCTCGTAAGTAGAACCAATAGACAATAGCTATTAGAGTATCTAGCGCTCCGGAACTATATTATTATCACTGAGCTATTCAACTATGAAGCTGTTTACATTCCGCTTATTTAAAATGCAGCAAGTGAGACTGTCATTCATATAAATCCTGCGAACTTTTGCATATAATCAACGTATAGTGAATGCTGCACAATAACAGCACTCAAGACGAAACTTCTAGCATAACCATACTCACTCCCCATTTTATCTGAAATCAAAAACCAAATCAAAGAAACCCAATCACACAGCAACAGCCACACCTCCCTCCCCAGCAACACCAACCCACCTCCCCCTCTCCTCCTCAAGCATCATCCCCGTCAAAAACCTCCCCTTCGCATCCAACGTACTCGGACTCTTAAATACATCAAACTTGAAATCATGCCACTCCTTCGCCGACCACATCTTGCCCGTCGCATCCCTAAAGGTGACATCATCATTAGGCCTCAAGAAGTACGCAATACTGTAACGGTCCTCCTCCTGCGTCTCCTTCAACGGCACAACACGATGCACCACACTCGCGAGCTCCCCACCAGACGGGAAGCGCAGACTATCGCCCACATTGATGATAGCATGGCCAGCACGAGGCTCGATGAATTCCCAGCGCTTGGTCTGGGGGGAGCAGTACTGCAGACCCCATTGGGCCGCGAGGAGGAAGGTGAGGGTGCCGACGTCGGTGTGCTGGTTGTGGCCGACGCTGGTGGGCTCGCTGATACCGGCTTCGTGCTTGGGGTAGCGTAGGATGCCGAGGGTTGAGGTGGACGGGCCGGGGTCGGCGTGGTAGGTTTCGAAGCGGGAGGGGCCAGTGAGACCGAGTTGGGTGGAGAGGCGCGACAATATTAGGAGGGTGATGGTGTGGGCTTGGTTGATGAAGTTGAAGAAGGGGGTGGATTTGGTGCGGATGCTGGTGGTGAGGTCGGTTGAGTTCTTGAGGTATTCGCGGCGGGAGAACTGTGGATGTTAGTATGGACTGGAATTGGTATAGAAAGGGGAAGTATCATACCTTGAGGGATTCGTAGCCGTCTCGGGTCTTGGGCTTGGGGCCTTCTTCGGTGCCCATGGGCTCGTAGCTGGGATGGTCAGTGGTGGTGATAATGCAGGATGAGTTGGGTGATGTGACTTACCCGAAGTTGTCGTCGTTGCGGGCATCCTGCATCTTGATATCAAGGGGCTGCTCGAAGTACTCCTTCATGATAGACAGCATGTCTTCCCAGAGCTGGCAGAGCTCGGGATCGCTGGTCATGTTGAGGTAGAAGAAACCATAGTTCTGGCAGACGCTGAGGAGTCTCTTGTTCTCCATTTCATTGTCTGCTCGGAGGAGGTCGAGCTCGATGGTTGGGAGAGACTCCGCAACGAGGATGGGCTCGGTGATGACCATGTTGAACTTTTGAGGGGGAAAGAACGCTTGAAGAAGGTGTCTCCGGTTAGAGAAAGATGAGTTGATTTGTTACTTTGATGCCAGAGAACTTGCAGCTTTCGAGCTTCTTATATGCGCCTGGGGTTGGCCCTCTCGTGACGGCCACGGCAAGTATACAGCATCATTGTCCGATGTATACAGATTCTCAAGTCTCTTTCCTACTTCCACCATGGCTAAGGGGCCAGAATCTCAGAGACGGCTCTGCAATGGCGTGATTCATCCCGATGTAACCCGTAGAAGGATAGACGATTCCATCCTCGTGTTCGCTAAGTGTTGATACTACCTTGCTAGCTGTTCTAGATCGCGAAATCATCTTCAGGATCTGGTCCACGGCTGGGCGATGGCAACTATGAGACGACGACTTGCTCGGGATGTTTGCTCGAACAGGAAGTTGTCTTCTCGAGCGAGAGAAGGTATGAAACGCATATTAGTTAGCTATACAAAGGATTGATCGATCAACTGAATGATTGGTTACTTGCTTGTATTACACGGATACAGCCACTACTATGCGTAAGCACTACCAAACAGCTAAGCATAACTACTGTACAGTACTTTTGTCGAGTATGAAGGATTGTTAGCGGGATCTGTTGATCTGCTAATGGTAAATCTGTAACGCCTTCCTTTTCAGGCAATGATCTGAGCTTTTTCGGTAGATACCAGGAGGCAAATGAGATTACCTTTTGATATTACAAAGGGAAAGGCTTGAAGGATTCGGAGATCCGTGGTCAAAGCGCTGAGTGTTCTACTTAGTAGGCACTAGAAGGGCCATGTAGTTGGTGCTTTTGCCCGGAATGCCTCTAGCTTAGAAATTCAAGGCAATGATAGGCGGATAGAGCCGACGACTCTAAAGGCATGCATAATTAGTTGACAATAAGTGTATCAACGAGGAAAGCAGGTAATAGTATTATGATTCTTCAGACTCAATCTAGATACCTCTCGGCAATAGTAGTCCGCGCTTGGAGCCGTCCTACCCCACAACTATCGCCACAACCAATATCACCCGAAGCAGTTTAGGGCTTACTCTTCATAAAAAGACATAACATTTTAACCCCATTGATGAGGCTATGTATAAGCTATTCACCCCCTGCATTTCTTTCCCCACATCACATGCATCACCTGATAATTCCTATCGGGGCATTTTAGCAGCTAAATAGCCAAACACGTAAATCGATCCTGTAAGTGCCGGGATGAACCCGATGTCGGTGCATTGTATATACCTCATACTAATATGACTGGGGATCAGCTAGTAACGGGCTAGATCTCCTGCTCCACTTCTCTGCAGTGAAACGGCCCCCAGATTTAGCACGGTTGTATAGCACGAAACGGTATTCACCTGGAGACGGCAATGTCCGTATTATGGGTTACATCTGCTAGTGAGAGGCTACAGCGCCTGCAGATGAAGATGAAGCCTAGATGCTTGCTGCAGATTGCCATCGCCGAAGATCTGGACTTGCTGGGTTGAGGGGACTCGTATTCTGATGCAGCTAATAGAGAAAGGGAATTGGCTAGGGTGACTAAATGTGAAGTGTAAGAGTGATGGCTGTATGAGAAAAGTGAGAAAAGTACGTCCCGCGGTAGTATAATTACCCATCATGGTAGTGATATAAACCTCCAGTTATTGTTAGACATCGCAATCTCAGTAACAACGTCCAAGTCATTCTTCATTCTCTTTTCCATTTACCCTTTGTTCTTTCATCACATACCTCAACACAATGACCGTACTATCCAACGGTCACGGTGCCATTGATGCAGTCACGGCCCAGGCCGCGCTGGTCCGTTCCCAACAAGAAAGGCGGCCCATTGAAAGCTTTGGTCACCTTGCAGACTTCGACAAGAAGGATGCTCCCGTCGTCACCATGTTCAGCGGTGGCCTGGACAGCACCTACCTGCTCCTCAAGCTCCAGCAGCTCGGCTACACCAACATCCACGCTGTCGCAGTAGATGTTGGAGCTCCTGTAGACGAGGCAGGTCTGACCAAACACGCTGCCCACTTTGGAGCATCGTTCAAATGTCTTGATGGCCGCGAGCTGTTTGTCAAAGATGGAGTCATGCCAGCCATTCGCGCTCACGCATCATACATGCGCATGTTCCCCATCAGCAGCTCCATTACTCGTCCGGTCATCGCTCGTCTGATCACAGACTACGCAAACTCCGTGAATGCAGGCTTGCTCCTCCACACTGCAAACTTGTCCCAGAACAGTCTTCCCCGACTGAACAACTGCATTCGTCTCTACGGCTTCTCTGGCAAATTCGGAAGCCCTTACGTCCACTCCGTGACCTCGCGCGAGAAGAAAGCCTCAGAGCTATCCGCAGCCGGACTGTCTATCATGGCTGAGCGCAAGCTAAGCGGAGACGAGAACCTATGGTGTCGAGAATTCGAAGACGGTCCGCTAGGCGACCCAGAGGGTTTCAACATCCCCGAAGAAGCCTACGAATGGACGCGGCGCAGCGGCGACTATGCCCCCGAGAAGCTCACGCTGAGCTTCGAGAACGGCAACCTCTCCTCCATCAACGGCGACGAGCTCCCCCTTATCGACGCCATTGCACTCCTGAACAAGGAGGTAGGCAAGTTCGGTCATGGCCGATTCGTCGGGCTCGAGTTTCTTTCGACCGACGACAAGGCATTGGAGATTCGCGAGGCACCGGCCGCTGCGATCATTATGGATGCGCTTCGGCACCTCGAGCTTGCTACGCTGGAGACAGACACGCTGGAGTTGAAGCAGCAGCTGGAGCAGAAATGGATCCGGGAGGCGATTGCCGGTCGCTGGGGTCATCGGTGTCATACCATGTGTGAGGCCGCTATTGTTGCCGCTTTGGATGGTGTCAGTGGGAGCATAACTTACGACATTGACCATTCGCGTTTCTTGCCTTGCTCCATTGTGGCGAAAAATCCGCGGTATATCAGGGATCGGGACCAGTGGGAACAGGGGCAGGAATTGCTATCGCGGATTTAGTTTCATTAGAGTATAACGAGTATGAAAAAGGAATTTTGTTTAGTTCAGAGATTTTTTCGTAATAAAACCTTTCGCTATAGCTTTCAGAGAAAAAATGTATTTCGCTATTCGCCTCTTTATGGTTACAATGAAAGTGTGACCAAACCGATAATGATCTGTTACAAATCTTACATACATTAGCGCGGACACGCCCTGACAGTGACAAGGACTGGTTGTTACACTAGCCAGAAGCTCGGACCACCCCCGTCTATCAGGTACATATACCCTGCTCAGCACCCACTACTCCACCACCTATCTTCTAAATCTACCATAATTTTTGGGTATTATTTATACACAAATGCACCGTCAGCTACGATTCTGACTATCTTTATCCCAGCGTGTGCCCTCCCAAAGACTCTACTGCACCCAACATCGCATCGGCAGATCTAGCCCAATCACAGTACGTCTAAACCTCCTAGTCAGCATAATCCGGGGCCCCAACCTAACAAATTGATAGATGTCCGAATCCACAAAGCTCATCTACCAACAAGACGGACAGCTGCTGCTCCATGGGGCCAAAATTCTCTTCATAATCCCAGTCTCCAACCTCCCAGAGGCAGACCAAGCTCTCGCCAAAGACTCCCCAGAAATCGAGCATGCCGTGGTGACAGACTCCACGATCTTCCACGTCCAAGGCGGTGGCCAGCCTTCAGACACGGGAACTATGACCACGGAGGTAGCGCCCAAAGCAGCTTCCATCTTCGAAGTGAAATCCGTCCGCCAACCAGCCCAGGGCAATCAGATCCTGCACTTGGGCCGCTTCGTCCCGGTCGGGACTACGCAGTTTGATTCCGGAGAGGAAGTCCAGCAGCACGTGGACGCTGAGAAGCGGAACCTACACTCTCGGCTCCATACTGCTGGACATGTCATGAGTTTGGCGATTCATGCGCTGTGTCGCGAGGGTGTGCTTCCCCCGGTGAAGGAGTCGAAGGCGTCGCATTATCCGGGGTCGGCGTCGGTTTCGTTTGAGGGCACGTTGGAGGGGAAGCATAAGGAGCTTATTCAGGCGAAGACGGATGAGTTTGTGAAGTCGGCGAGTCCTGTTAGGATTCACTGGTGGTCCATGGAGGAGTTGATGGAGAAGTGCTTTGTTGCTGAGGGGTTTGCGTTGCCCGAAGGGGAGACGCTGGGGAGAGTCGTGGAGATGGAGGGGTTGGGAAGTTATCCTTGTGGAGGGACACATGTTACGGATTGTAGTTTGGTTGGGAGGATTGAGGTGAAGAAGATTTCGAGGTCGAAGGGGGTTAGTCGGGTTTCGTATACTGTTGTATAGATTTGAGTATATAGAGTTTTGGAGTTATACTAGATCGGTTGTACTAGAGCTTGGAGTGTACTTGGTAGTATGCGGTATGATCTTACATATCATTTCAGAAAATCAATAGCGATACGGCCACCAAAATCAGACAGGAGTAATCTTTTGTCAAGTCTGTACATTCTCGATTTACTACGTAGGATTACATGTTTTGTTGGGGGTAGATTCTCGGTGCATAATGCGAAGTATCGTTGATGTGTACTGTTCAAGTAAGCTAAGTATCATACTTACCCTCTAAAGAGGAGGACTGATATCAAGACCATTCACAATCAACTTAAAAGAGTCATTTCTGCTCAATCACATTAGCATAAAATCCAAACGGCTGTAGGATACCTCATACCTCGAATAACTTCCAGCAGCATCTGAATCCAATCTGTATCTCAGACAATCATCAAAGTCCACCCCCACCATCATCATGCCGTCTACTTCCTCCCACAGCGGCCCTTTCAGCATATCCCCGCTCGGAGCTACGATGCAAGAACCACCTCTGGTGGCAAACTCCTCACTCTCGGACTTTTCCCCGTAAACCCAGGCAGGCTGGTCCTTCTTCCTGTGGCATTGGTTGGCACTCAAGACGAAACATCTACCCTCGCAGGCAATGGTTCTCATGAGAGGGGCCCAAGCGTCACGCTGATCGGCTGTAGGGGCTAGATAGAGATTGACATTCTGGCTGTAGAGGGAGTGCCTCAACAGCGGCATGTAGTTTTCCCAACAGATAGCAGCTGCTAGGGTGAGTTTCACGCCTTTGATGGTGGTAGTCACAGCACGGAGCGACGAGGGCTGCCCCTGGCCCCAAACCAGACGCTCACTTCCTGTCTAGTGCTGGTCAGCCTAATACCATATCAATACAAGAAGGGATACTTACCGGCATGACCTTTCTCCGCTTGCCAATCACTGTGTAGATAATAGCATCATGTCAGCTTCCACACTCCACATCCAAAAGTACATGCGGATACTCACCTCCCAACTTGGGACAGACATATACTACCGCACAATAAAGAGTCCCCCCAGCCCTCTCAACCAATCCAGTGACGATGAAGATACCCGTCTCGCGAGCCACTAGTTCCAGCTCCTCGCGGACTCCATCGCCCCTTCGGACTCCACTTCCACTCCCGTCCTGCCCCTCCAATTCCCTTCTCACCCACTTCTCCCCCGCTCCTTCAGGCGTATCGCCCAGATCCACCGCATCCTTGAAGTAGTTCAGGTATTGTTCTCTGCCTTCATCGTCTCGAGATCCCACCTTGGCTCCAAAGGTCGCCCCACGAGGATAGCCTCCAATGTAAGCTTCCGGAAAGAGAATCAGATCGGGTGATGGGGTCTGCTTGGCTGCTTGCCGACATTGCTGGGACAAGGCCTGAACAGTCTCCGGGGTGCTGGCGAGGGTGTGTGCCTGACTGACGGCGAGATAGATGGTTTGTGGTGAAGCCATTGCTAGTAGACAAATAATCAGAAAGACTGGATTTGCTATGTTCAGAAAAGACAAGAAGAGGTGTCCTTTCTACGGAGGTATACCAGGGCATTTGCCCATTTTATTAGAGCACAATACCCTTATCAGTTGAGCTTGGGCCTGGTACCTGATCCCTGTTCACATTACCCCTCAATTAAGCCCTTTTCTGTACCTTTTGATTCCCTGTTACTGTCGATCGTCAAATTAGTGCTTATCGTGGCAAGATGCTATCTGAAGTACTTTGTCCGCAGTTTTAGTGTAAGGAGTGGGATGGTAGAGTAACATCGGGGAAGGGCAAATACATGCCCCACCCCGATTACGGTGACGTGTCTAGACTTATCTTAGTGTCTGGAGACTATATCTTAGTCGATCTTAGGGAAGTTAGGGTAGCCAATTCTAGGCACTTCACCGTCAATTTGCTTCGGATCCAAGCGTCTCTGCTGACTTGCTTCTTCAGGAAATTCTTTCATCTCCGCGCCCTGTAACATGGACTAGTCCGAAACCGGACTACGAGGAAATATTCCTCGCCACGCCGCATTAAGACCACTATTATTGAGTCATTTTGTTTTTTTCTATCTTGATGACTGGAAATCACTCTCTTGTCTGCATGTCTTTGTTCTTTTATAAACTATGCAATTGTGACGGTCAATTCTTTTCAGAAATGCAATATATGCAAATAATAGGTATGTTCATTTGCGTTCTTAAAGCATTCGTGCTAATCAATTCCATTGTAGATTTGTTTAATTATCTTTCTACTGAATAATAAAGCAATTCGCGATCCAATTGCGACTATCATACCCATACTATCCTAATAACCAACCCACCGGTACCACTCACCAACACCACCAACATGACCGACAATAGCAGTGTCGAAGCATACCCAGAAGCTATAACCGAGTTCGACGAAAAGACAATCAATAATGAAACCATCAAAGAGAAAAAATGGGGCATACTCTCAAAATCACAAAGCGTCGCTAGTTGGAAAGATCCCGGCCCTCCTCCAGACGGCGGAGCTCTCGCATGGACACAAGTCCTAGTGGGACACTTGATTATTATGAATACCTGGTAGGTTCCAATGCGTTGCTTTTGCACGTGTAAAAGCTCAATTGGCTCCTCCAGGAGCGTGGTTACACTTTGTGCTGGCCGTATCGTGAAAAGTTTGCTGAACTAGGGCCAGGGGCTATATGAATTCGTTTGGTATCTTTCAGACGTATTATGTCGACTTTCTTAATCGCTCGGATTCGGATGTTTCGTGGATTGGGAGCGTTCAGGTCTTCATTGTCTTCTTCATTGGTACTTTTACGGGGAGGTTCACTGATGCGGGTTATTTTCGGCCGGTTTTTGGTGAGTATTTCTTCTTCCCGCAGATGCATCTCGGGCTTATGGCTTCCAAACTATGACATCCCCGCAATTGAAGATATATGCTAATTACTACAGTGGTCGGAACCATCCTCAGCGTCCTCGGCATGTTCATGGCCTCCATATCAACCGAATACTACCAAATATTCCTCGCGCAAGGAATCTGCTGCGGCATCGGCAACGGATGTCTATTCTGTCCAGCCCTCTCAGTAACATCCACCTACTTCGCAAAGCGAAAGATGCTCGCTGTCGGCATCTGCGCCTGCGGCAGCGCCACAGGAGGCCTAATCTTCACCGTCATGTTCCAGCACCTGATCCCACAGATCGGCTACGGGTGGACGATGCGAGTCTTCGGCTTCTTCACCCTAGCCTGTCTAATCATCTGCAACATCCTAGCCAGACCGAGAGTGCCCCCTCGGAAAACAGGTCCTCTCATTGAGCTCGCTGCTTTCAAGGAACCATCATACACCTTGTTTGCGGTCGGCATCTTCTTGACCTTCTGGGGTGTTTATTTCGCTTTTTACTATCTAAGTTCGTTTGGTGTTGCGATTATCAACATCTCTCAGGAGGAGTCGCTCACCTTTACTCTTATCCTGAATGGTCTGGGTATCATAGGTCGTCCGGTCCCTGCGTACCTGGCTGATCGGTATACCGGGCCGATGAATATTCTTATTGTGGTTACCTTGTTCTCGATTATTTGCGCTTTTGCCATGATTGGCGTCACGTCTATATCGGGGCTTTATGCATGGACGGTTGTTTATGGTATTGTGGGAAATGGTTTGCAGGGAATGTTTCCAGCTACGTTGAGTAGCCTGACGACTGATTTGCAGAAGGCTGGTGTCAGGATGGGCATGATTTTTGTGAGTTTCCCTCCCTTATTCACCCAGTTGCAGGGAAGGGTGAGATTGGTGACTAACATGGGTGTAGACTATCGTCAGTTTCGCTGTATTGACAGGTCCGCCTATCGCTGGTGTTCTGATCACGAGAGACAATGGCCGCTATGTATATGCGCAGCTCTTCGCGGCGTGCTCGATGCTCGTCGGGTTCTGTCTCCTTTGTGCGGCGAGATTAGCGAAGACTGGAAAGGTCTTGAAGTATAAGATCTAGTGCGTTACGAGCGGAACTGGATGGGTAGTAATCTTGACAGACTCTTCAGGGGAAAAAATGTGCGATTGATTGGGGCTTTTGTATATGAAGCATACGCAAGACATGAGATGTGACGGATGTATGGTGCACTTACTGGAGTTTTAGAATGCATGTGTTATGGGAAGTTGTTACTAGAGCGGGAAATCAAGCGATGATTAATGGCTTCTTACGCTACCTCTTGAACCCAGTGTCGAGTACAAAGATCTATAATGATAAAAGGTATTCAATTACGCAATTTCGGGGCCAACCTAGAGATAGAAGGGGTGGTAGAGGGCAATAGAGTGATGAAACTGCAAGACGCCGGGTGTTATCAGGATAAGTTGCATCTCAATTTCATTAAATTGTACAACGGTACGGGCTCTGTCCCCTTCACATGCCATTTGTCCGTTGAGGAGAGTGAACCAATACTAATCCTTTGCATATTTACGGGATCAGCGAATCTAATCTATCCCTGTCAGATACCAAGTGTGTATCGTTCTCGTCTCTCATTCGTCCAACACATCGGACTTTTTTAAGCCGCCGGGGTTACCCCTCTCTTTTATATACCAGGCTGATTCTCTGTTGCTGAAGGGTGGAGTGAGTAGTGCAACTACATATAGGACAGAATATCTCGAGTACACGGAACTATATACACAAGGCCACCCCAAAAGCAAGGTGTTAAAGAAATTCACGTGTTGACACATCTCAACTGCGGCGGTATACTTGTCCCTTTTCCTAAATCAAGATATGCTTAGCTGATACTCGCAAGAACCAGACCTCAGACCTGGGCTTTTCCAACATGTGCTTCATGGAGAACCCTGCACCCGTGTACTTCTCCAAGTGCAAGCATACTGTCGATATCCCTGAAGAGTCAACTCCTCGAATGTGTCCTGAGGCAGAACAGCGCTCGCCCCCATCTTGGTGTCCTGATCCTCCTAAACCGACAACCAAAGGATCAAGCACAAACCGTCAATATCTCTGCCCCTGTTGTCGAAAGAAATAACGGTCCTAGACCTGATGAACAGCGGCGATGGTGGCATACAAGTGCAAGTTCGGGTATGCCATCCAGGTTGCTCACTAGAAATCGCGGGGGAAGAAAGCTAGCCTTACTTACGGCCTTGTTTGTTGCTATAAATTGGATTTGTGCTCTTAAATCAAAGAACGAAGCAAGAGTATTCTATTTCAACAGACCCTTGTGCTTTACGTTAATATTTGTCATTACATTGCTTCTTTTCCTAGTTGTAATTCACTTCAGACTGTGGCTTAGTTAGGGTCGCTCGCTTTGTTCTTGTTAAGCGTACTGTGGCCGACAGATCTGCCCGCAGATAGTAGTCGTGCGTCCTCATTCGTCCTCTTCCGTGCTCCAAGATGCAGTAGAAACGGGATAAATCCTCGCGTTGATTGTGAGTCCGGAATTCTTAGCGCCCCCTTGGAGTCACGATGGTGCAGGAGGGGATTGGCGGGTAGAATTGAAGGACTTGGTAGTAGATCTTTCGGGAAAGGGAGAGTATGGTCTACATAGTATCAATGTTTCATTGTAATTTCGCTCTGAACCACAAATTACTCCTTGGAGCCTGGGTCAACTTTAAGAAGCATATCTGTTGGTTGGTGGTTAATTAATTGGGTGAGTTGAGTGAATGGCGCCGGAGCAGAAAAAGAGTGCTTAGTAACGAACCCATTGCCCAACTAGGTTAGACGATGTTACTCCATCCCTTCGAAGTGGCTCCCGCCGTTTCTCCTACCAGCTCATCGTACACTTCTCCACTTCTGGTCTTACTCCATGTTCGTTCTCCGCACTCTCCAGTAATAGTCATGATACTTTCGGTAATCCGCACGTGGCTCTATAATGCCATTTGGCCTCCTGCAGCTACGGAGTCGGACGAGTCAAAGGTAAGTTCAGCTGCATTCTCTTTTTGATACCCTGCTAAGTCATCCTTCCAGAATATTGCAACGTTACAGATCGATACCCCCAACACCTGTCAAATAAACGAAACAGAAGCCGGACCGTCTCCCCATGTGCAAAGTCTTCGAGCAGAGGGTCAGGATCACAATTCCCAAACTTCAACTGGCAAAGTAGAATGCACGCATATTCCTGGACGATCTAGCAATACTTTACCTTCTCCAGTTCCCCATGACCCTTATCTCGGTCTTCCAGTAATTGGAAATGGCATGACTGGAATCATTCTTAAGCTTGGGGAAGACCGTGCTGTGAAGAAAGCAAAGCAATATCAACCTGGGTACCTCCAGAACCGCGAGGATGTGGAGTACATGAATCAAATAAATCAGCAAACTCTGGATAATGAGATCCAAGTCTTCAAGCGCCTGGGCAGCCACAAAGGGATTATTTCTTACTTCCAGACATCCCAATATGGGATTGAACTAGCCCTTGCACAAGACAATCTTGAAACTTATCTAGAGACCTATCCAGAGCGCGATAACTCCCTGAAAACGAGCTGGATCTGGAGTATTATCAACACTTTTACACATGTCCACTCTTGCAAGGTATTTGTGGATGATATTGCTCTTCGCAATATCTTAGTGCTGGATGGACAGCTTAAGCTTTCTGACTTTGGACAATCTATCTTATTACCACATGGTACTGATATGACTTCGGCAAATGAAAACGACTTAAATGTCCAGATTGAGATACTTCACCTTGGTTGGGTTCTCTACTCTATTGCATCCTGGCGCGTCCATAAATACTATTTCTTCAGCCCCGAAAACCCTGATTTGTGTTGGCCCGAACCAGACTCATTCCCAAATGCTGATTATGTTCTCTTTGGAGCAATAATCAAGAAGTGCTGGCGGGGCGAATATACGAGTATGGATGATGTGAGAGATGAGGCTCACCAATTGCTCACTGGCGACAAAAATCATCCAGTGCGCAATCTCGGTGACGAATCTTGACCGGCTTGATTACGTCTCCTGAAGGGATCCATCAGTCTTCTGGAGATGGTTTACGAATCTCGCTATGGTTTAAGAGCCTCTGTTCCGGTAGACTCATGAAATGCCGGTCGTCCTTGGAGAGCCCTGGGCTAAACTGGTCTGCGCGGATTCTGTGAAGTATTCCAATAAGCAGAACAACGGGTTGAAAGCAATCGCTGAGTTCCTCACTGCCCACTTGCTTTAGTCGTTGGGAAGATGGCAAGATATAGCAGCTTGCATTGGAAAGGCAGAGAACTGGTACCAACGATAGTTGTGTTTTGGTGCATCAGAAAAAACCTGCCTACACATCAAAGGCCGCTAATTTGGGGACTACATATCAAGATTGTCTGTCTGGAAGCAGAACAGGATGGTACAGCTTAGATCTATTGTGCTAGCAAATTCATGCAGAGCAAGACAACCTCGAAAGAGCAGTGATACATTGCCTACGCTAACTAAGAAGAAGTTGCACGCGGGGTGTCCTTCTTGTGTTTTCCCAGATCACCTGGGACGCGTCGAGGCAGGAACGGAAAAGAACGGTTGTTTCCATGCATTGTGAGGGTTTTCTTGCTTGCTGGCTCGAAGGGCTATTGGCCAATGCATACATAATTGCTGTCGGTCTTCTTCCATAATTACATGGCAAGGCCCAATATTTGAGTTAGGAACTTCCATCCCGACAGTGACTTCGTGGGCAGTCTGAGTGAAATTGGACATCCCAGAGGCAAATAAAGTTGAACTTCCTCAATCCGCATGCTCTGCATCGGGGTAATTCCGAGCCAGATGGTGGAAGGTCTTGCTGGTGAATATTACACAGTTAGTGGGGGTGAAGTCATTGCAATGGTATTCAATCATGTGTTTCGCAAAATAAATATAGTGAATAAATGCTTACTTGGCTTTTTATTTAAAATTTTTATTTACTTATTTTTGGTCTGGTTGGGGAGAAAGGCGGGGGCGGGGATGAAAAGATGTTTAATTGGAGATAGCATCATCATCCTTCACACTGTTCAACTAATTATGATATTAAAATTACAAGAAACCCTCCTATTTCTTATAAACATGTATTATCGTAGTTGATACTACTAGAACACTTTTTCACCTGTAGATAATGTTATCCTGATAGTAGTTGCGTGACGTTGCGTCAAGTACTAGTAGTCTCTCTCCTACCCCTGCCAAAGATATATATATCCGGAGCATACCACCTACCAACGTCAAACTTTGTTACTAGTATGTACTAAAGCCAAGCTATGCAGGCTATAGATTAATGTTGAGAGGCGTTTTTCAACAAGTCAGCCCTTGTAGCTCAGTGGTAGAGCGCTTCACTCGTATTCCAAATACTGCCATGAAGAGGTCCGCGGTTCAATCCCGCGTGGGGGCACTTGTTTTTTCGTTTTTCTTTTTTCCATTGTTGTCGGGGCACACACAAACCATACTAGTAGACAACCAATCAAATAACAGTCAAATTCTTTTACTAGTTCCATGGATAGTATTCCTGAGTCATTCATGGAGTTTGTCCGAAGCTTCCCGCCGCTCCCGGTGCCAGAGGCACATTTTTATTCCTACACCAATCCTTACGACATTGTGCCATGGTTCAGAGACTTGCCGTGATTCTCCCTCGCTTTACTACCCAGGCTTATGGTTTGTCTATTCGTTCATTTACGGACGATATTCATGACGGTTTGAAGGCCATTTCTGAGTACGCGTCTCAAGTTGAGACTCAGTTGCTCGGTGACCGGCCTTAATAAGGTAGCTTCTGTCCGTAGCACACTAGCTAATATAGGTGAAAAGTGGAGTCAAACCCTGCAGCTCACTGGTCAGAGCTTCAGTTATACCCATTTTCTCGTCCCATTCATTATACCTGGGATATGGCTTCGGTTCGAGTCCGAGCCGGGGACATCCTGCTTCTCCCCGGCTAATAAGCCATGCTAATAAGCCATGTGGCCTTATTTGCTACTAGGATACTCCTTCCCTTTTGATCATATGTCATCTCTTCTGCCTCTTTCTGTTCTTAATAGATAGATGTAAGAAGTGTATAGCTGAATGCGCTGCGGCGCCCTGCTCAGCCGTTGCAGCATCAAGGTACTCTCCACCTGCGACGGAATAACACCGAGATATCCCCGCTATATTTAGCGTTTGGACGCTATTCCCTTCAATGAGATGCTTCCAAGTATGCATGACTCTGTATTATAGTTCCTTAGTAAATGAAAAGACGGTGTTGACTCACAGTCTCGTATTTCGCACCGATGTGTGGAGTTGTGGAGCAGGACAAGAATGATCGCCTACTTTAAGAGCAATAAAGCGTTGCTTGATGCCCAATAGGCTGCCGTACACAGCATCTCAAACATTCTGATTGAAGAGCCTCGAATCCAGATGGCTTGGCTCCCGGCTGAGGTGTTGCGGCATCGGGGGTTGCTAGACTGTAAATTGGAATGACTCCCAAGGTCAAGTGAGAGCTGAAGGACCTCTTGGACTGAAGATCCCCTCACACTCAACTATGAGTCAAAGGCATATTGAAGATCGCTATGGTCGCGTATTCCTCCTGCCATTTCTTCTCGAGCCAAGCCCGTGTAGGCGACCAGCCGCGTGCGGAGAATGATTGTCTTGGAGCCGAACTGCGCTGCTGCAGGTGCTCTTAGTGTCGAGTCATTAGACCCAAGTCGGTGACGGATCTTGACATATATTAAGATCGCCTTTCGCTTCGCCAGCCTGAAGGCAATGCATCCAATTGCCGGCTCCAACTTCGAGATTGATAAGCACGTCATCCAGACTAAGCTTAATTGTGACAACAAGTCGGACGGAGATCGGAGTCATTGGAGTCTAGTGCCTGGTATTGGCCAGATAAGAAGACGCTGCAAGGGCAATCACAGCAGGTTCGGAGATATCGTTGGCTGTCCATCGGTCAATATGGGCGGAAAAGGTCAAAGCCAGCGGATGACGAATCAGTGGTTGTTGGGAGGGCGAAGTCGGACTTAGGAGGGGTTTAAGATACTTAACCTGAACGGGGCTCGCTCCTTCCGCGCTCTGCTGCCTGCTGCCTGCTTTTTCCCCTCCCCTTTCACCAAACACAAGTGATGTTGTTCACTTACTCTTAACAGCAGAGAGTTGAAGTACTCTGGGAAAGTGCATTAGAAATCCAACCCCAGAGATTGCCTGATGGCCACTACTCCATACGATAGCCCGGATGATCAGTCCAGGCAACTCCGCCTCTGACCTATTCTGGGCGGCTTGAGCCGGTCGGCTATGAACTCCACCCCCAATTAGGAATGTCTCGAGAGTTCTGTCTCTACTGTCGCGCCATGAGCACCAGCAGTCGCATCTGAGGCCATTGCGACCATGCTCATAGCTACATCCTGGACTGCATACCTCAATGGATGTCTAATGAACTAATCCCCCAGGTTACAGTCATGATCCCATCCTCTCCCCCATCATGATCGAATAGCACAATTGCCTCAATTGCCTCACTTGCCACGTTCTTCCACCGGACATCCGACAGGAATCGAGGGAGATAAGCACAGCTGTGGCCAAGACACGCTACATCCTACGGTTATCAGGGAAGGACAATGGACTGATGGGTCCCAATCTACATGCGCTCCATACAGAATCATGCATCGAGTCAACCACGGCGCGGGGAAGCCCGACGTTGCAACTGTCTGCTGCTGATCGTCTGTCGCATGAGCGGGGGAAATTACACACAATGAGCCGACCATGCGCGCGCCCCCTTTGCGCCCTGCGAGAACATCAACGGAGGAAGAGTCGTACTCCGCCGGACTACGAATGAGACACGCCAGACTTATCTGCATGTTAGCAGCTTAATGATTTATGTTACCTAACATGTTCCGCATCTGGTGGTCCTACCGACGGCACGAACGATTTAGTCCTGGTCCTGCTTGGCGTCAGACAAAACGGTGGAAATTTTGCGGCGGCAAACATTCCGCAATGCCAATTGATTTGGGAAGGCTTGCATACAAGGCAAGGGATTTCGCTTATTGACGGATCTTTGAGGATTGAAGCACTCTTGTCGATCACCATGGACAAATGTGAACAGGGACGAGGAGACGCAGAAAATTGGGAAAATGATTGTGAGGGGAAGCCACGAGGGAGTGGAAACTCTGGAAGGAATTCGGCCTCTCACCGGCAAACTCCGACTTCTTGGCGTCCCAAGATGTCGCCGGGCTCTGCGGGCGATGGGCCAATCACCGCCATCTTTCGCCATCTCGGCTGATGCTTAACGCTGCTTGTCAATTATTGTCATATCGATTGTTGCCTCCGGGCTCTGGGTTGCGCCCGGACTCTTTCCTCGGTTATAATGATTCAGATTCTCACTTGACCACAAACCGGGCCCTGTCCTGGTGGCCATTGGTCCCAGGGTCAGGAACGGTCCCGCTTCGGCTACCTCTCTATATCTCCCACCACCAGGAGATATAAGGTGTGCGCCGTTTCCCTCGCGAGTATCTCGTGCCTCTCATCTTTCCAGAGGAAAATCTGCGCTCAACTCCTCCCACTCGCCCTTGGGATTTTCCTGCCTGGTCCCGCAAAGATGTCTGGAGATCATGAGGCTGAGATCACTCAGTAAGTGTCCACTACCCTATTTGTGTTTGATTTTTACCCTTCCTGTGGGCTGGTCCATCTCCCGTGTCGGTGACTCGTGAGTCACCATTCCGTCACAGCTCACTCGAATTTCGCTCCCCCTCATCCCCGTGCTAATGAATATCCTAGGCCGCAACAACAGGGCCACGGCACCGAATCGATTGTGAACGAAAAGGCGGCATTCACGGAGGCTAGCGAAAAGGGCCTCGGTCCCACCCCCGACGGCGAAGAACCCAACGCTGAGGAAGTCGCTACTCTTCGCCATGTTGCGGAGCATCTGCCTATCTCCGCATGGCTTGTCGCCGTTGTCGAGCTGTGCGAGCGTTTCACCTACTACGGAATGTCTGGCATGTTCCAGAACTACGTTGATCGTCCTCTGGACGGAAGTGAGGGACGTGGTGCCCTAGGCATGGGTCATCAAGGAGCCACTGGTCTCACCACTTTCTTCCAGTTTTGGTGTTATGGTTCGTCTACTACTGCATAAATACGCGGGATCGCTGGCTGACATCTGCCCCAGTTACCCCCATCATCGGTGCCATTGTCGCTGATCAGTACCTCGGTAAATACAAGACCATCGTGGTTTTCTGTATCATCTACTTGGTCGGTCTGCTCATCTTGGTTTGCACGTCCATCCCGACCGCTCTTCACCATGGAGCCGGTGTTGGTGGCTTCATCGTGTCTATCCTGATCATCGGTCTGGGAACGGGTGGTATCAAGAGTAACGTTGCTCCTCTGATTGCCGACCAGTACAAGCGCAAGAAGATGGCCATGTCCACCACCAAGAAGGGTGAGCGGGTTGTCATTGACCCTTCCCTCACTATTCAGCGCATCTACATGATCTTCTACGGCTGTATCAACGTGGGATCGCTGTCTCTGTTGGCCACTCCTTACATGGAGAAGTACATTGGCTTCTGGTCTGGTTATCTGCTTTGCTTGTGCATGTTCGCCGTTGGTACCATGGTGCTCATCTTCGGCCGCAAGTACTACGTTGTTCGCCCTCCCCAGGGCTCCATCATCACCGACGCCTTTAAGGCTCTGTGGATCATGGTTGTCAACCGCAACATGGATGCCCCCAAGCCCAGCTGGCAGGCGGCCAACAACGGCACAAGGACCAACCTGCCCTGGGACGATCACTTCATCGACGAGCTCAAGCGTGCGTTGGTCGCTTGCCGTGTGTTCTGTTTCTACCCGATTTACTGGGTTGTTTACGGCCAGTTCTCCAGCAACTTTGTCACCCAGGCCGGTCAGATGGAAGGTCACGGAATCCCGAACGACTTGATGCAGAACTTTGATCCGATCTCCATCATTGTCTTCATCCCCGTCCTGGAGACCCTTATCTACCCCCTGCTGCGTCGCTTGCGTATCCGCTTCCGTCCGATCACCCGTATCTCCCTGGGTTTCGTTGTTGCCTCCTTGGCGATGATGTACGCGGCCATTGTCCAGCACCTCATTTACTCCGCTGGGCCCTGCTACGAGCACCCCGGATGTGCTGCTTCGGAGGTTGATGGGTCCACCACTGGCAACCACGTGCACATTGCCATCCAGACGCCTGCCTATGTGTTCATTGGTCTGTCCGAGATTTTCGCGTCGGTGTCTGGATTGGAGTACGCCTACACCAAGGCTCCTCCGTCGATGAAGTCCTTCGTGCAGTCCATGTACCTGCTCACCAACGCATTTGGTTCCGCTCTGGCCGAGGCACTGACCCCTGCTGCCTACGACCCGGCCATCATGTGGATGTTCGTGGGTCTGGCTTGCGCCTCGTTCGTTGCCGGTATCATCTTCTGGCTGGTGTACCACCACCTCAACGACCAGGAAGACCAGCTCAATGCGCTCGACGCCGACGATCCGGATGCTCCTGCCGCGCCCCCGGCCTATGAGGAGAAGAAGGAGCAAGAGCACTGAAAAGCGCTCACTCCGCTCGATACCCTCTATTTCTTTTAATGTACTATAATATTTTGACCCGCAGTTCTCGTGTATACGCGCTGAACGTGATATATGCGAAGTCGCGCAGGCCCGCGTAAGAGCACCTGCAGAGCAGATGAGAATGAGAAAGGGCGGGTGTACATACGATGTACGGATTATGCATAGTTTATCCCCTCATTACCTTAGTTATTATTATGATTAGCATAGCAATATAATTTATGGCGTTGCCTGGCTGAATTTGTGTGCCTACACTGTACATGAATGAATCCGTAGTCATCGGCGGAGGTCATCCGTCCGCCAGTAAAGCAGACCCTGCAGGTAGTGCCCACACCACAAAGCGCGACGACCCGTGCCTGAAATTATTCTCGAACAACCCACCAAATTAGACTACTTTTTACTTCGGACAAGTGGAACTTTCTTATCTTAGCCTCGTATTCTCGTAGACCAGTTGCCGTGAATAATTGGGTTTAGGTAAGTAATTGGAATTTTATCGGATACCAGCCGAGAGAGATTGTGTACTACATAAACAAATACTTTGGACAGCGAGCAATGAAAGGTTTATTGTAAGCATAAGTATGAATGTAACTGTCCATGATGGTGATTATTATATAGTATGTATGTACGTATGTATGTATACAGAATAACTGTAGTGAAAGTAGGAAACGAAACAAAATAAAATAAAATGTAGTTAGTTAGTTGGTACTGAAGGACTCAATAAACCCCACGGAAAAGAACGGAAGAGGAAATAGGATGGAAGAACGGCAAATTCGGGTTCTTCGGGTTCTAGAGAATTTTGTGGCAGTTCAGCTCAGTTTAGTTCAGGTCATGGCAATTGGTTATGGGGGGGGGGGGTGATTTTCGGATGTCTGGCCGGCTGGCGAGTACAAACTGCAAATTGTTCTGACTAGGTGAAGTAGCTATGGACCCTTACTGCAGTTCCATGGATTCGGGATACTAGGTTCTGTGGATGGGGGAGGATGTGAAGGATTCTAGACCGTAAGTTGGCTTGGGCTGGGTTTGCTGGGTCTGTGGCTCGGGCTTGGTGGTTGTGGTTGTGGTTGTGGTAATGATTGCGCTTGTGGGTATGATGTTAATCGATTACTTTGTACTCCGTATAGTGTTCAATGATGGCTTAAGAAATTGTCTGTATGTTGTGTAATTTGTTCTTCGTTTCGGGTAGTATTGTAGGTCTGGTGGTTGTCACAGTACTGGCTACTTTTAGGGTCGTTGGTTGGTGATGAAGGGTCAGTTGGCTTCATTTAGAAGAGACCTGATTTTTGTAGAGTGTTTAATTCAAGTAGGGAAACATTCGACTTTATGTCATCTAGACCCTTGTTCTAATGTCACAGTATATGTCTGCTTGTTCAAGGTACTTTCATGTAGGTACCAAATGCTACTTGAATATACGTTCAATATCCCTTACTGCGACATAATAAAATTAAGGTTCATCGCATGAACCCACCTATTGATTTCTTCAAAGCGATAAGCATTCAGACCACGCGACAATCAATATGCTAGGGATATATGGGGTAACGTGAGAGTTCACTGCCTGGGAGCATGTGACCTCTTGACTGAGTGGAAAAACGGCTGCCTGAGGTTTATTGACTAGCCCCGACCGAAGGATTGAATTGAATGGGGCAGTGTCTTGTCCACCCACTTGAGGCTCAGCTCAAACTAAACTACTCTGATAGTTATGTGGCGGTGGGCACATTGCCATTTAGACACCGACATTTCCTTCCTAGAAGCATGATTCGAAGAATGGATGCATGCACCTGCACCGCGAATGGAGTTCGGTGTTGCTAATTTTACTCTCGCTTGTGGGTTAGACAGGCACACGCTGGCCAAGCTAGATCGCGGCTGTGGAGCTGCTGTGGAAATTCCATTGTGCTGCGCTGAGCTGAGATGAGCTCAGCTGCTTACGCCGTTGTTTATTGTGTTGCAGTGCTCAGCAACGGTATTGTGTGAAATTGCCATTGTCCGAAAATGTTAGGATTAATATGCATGATGGCATGAGAGTAAATGAGATGAAACTTGACGGCATGGTTCTGCCGTTGCTGAAATTGTAGAGTGGGGAAACGGCGTCAGGGGAAATTGAGCTAACATATTGTAGTCAAAAGCTTTATTACTTCTGATTCATTGCGAGTTTGATCGCTGGCTATTTCGCTGTCAGCGGTTGCCAGTGTATGGGGTAGATTGGGCGCGTAGTCATGGAAAAGCTGGGTGGCAGGTGGGGAGACCGTTGAAGTTCAACCCTGCCAGGGCCCAGATCACGGTTTCCAGATCACATCCAATGGAGTAGGTACATATCAGTGACGTGCAGGTTGCCGCTCTACCGCTCCAGGAACGTAATTAAGTAGCTCGTGCCGGTGTTCAAGGGTCAATGGTCGGTCGTATTTGGGGACGAAATTGTGTGGGCACAACAGCTGCGAATGTTGGATGAGCAGCACAGAGTGGATAGCTTTCTAAGACATAGTGAGATAGTTGCGATTAGTCTCTTTGTTCTGTCCTGGGATCTTCTTTCTTAAATCTTAGCTTCACAATCAAACTTGGCAATAAAAAGCAAAGATTGTCGCAAGTAAGGGTGTGATTCTGTCAGGGCAATTCTTGCTTTCCGGTGTAGAGAGTAGAGTAGAGACCTGTCTGATGAAGAAAGTACTGGGTATAGCATCAAGTGCACCCCGACGATCAGCAGCACTTTATCTACCTCGATCACTCATGGTATCATTTCGAGCCTTCAGCCCAGCATCGCGATTCCACTTTTTGGACCCGACCGAGCTGTTTCAGAGGGCATAGACGGTGGAATGTTTTGATTATCATCATCGTGGGAAAAAGGGGACTCGAGGATCGCCGGCCGGTCTGTGCTCGAGCTAGACGCCCCCTACTAATAATATCGAGAAAAAGCCATCAGTGCTAGGTTTCACCCCTGATTGACCAGAGCGAGAAGAGAAAGAAAAACAGCTTCATTTTCCTCTTTCTTTCTTGATTTCCTTCCCACCCCCAGTCGTTCCTTACTTTCCCCTCCCCTTCTTCTGGAAGTTCAAGAAGAGTTGTTGAGTTGAGTGACATATTTGCCATCTGCGGGCCAGAGCCAGTCAACCGTCGAGGGCTTTCCTTTGGATTTGCAGCCGCCAGTGGCTCAGCCGCCTTGTCTCACCCGTCACTCTTTCGTCCTTCCCCCATTCTTTCTTTCTCACCTCATTCCCTCAACTGCTGCTTTTTTTTTCTGCCTGCCTGCCTGCTACCTCTTCGTTCCCTTCTTATCCCCTCCTCCACCTTTTACCGTTTCACCTTTTTTGCAGTCTCCCGACTCTATTTACCCACGAAACTCTTAATCCTCCCTTTCTGCGGTAGTCGCAATTCCATCGCCGTTCTCGTTTCCCGTACAACCCCGAAAGCTACGTCCACCTGTCGGAATTACTCGCTGCGACCAGTGACCCACGCTGCATCACGACCGCTGTGTCTGAATTGACGGCTGTACGATCAATTTGACTTGAAAGACTCTCAGGACTACAATAATTAAATCACCATGAGTGTATGTCGAACACCCAGAACGTCATCATCCTGACCCTTGCCGTTACCCCACCCCTTATTACCCACCACTTGCGCATCGTCAAACAGTCTGCTAACTTGTCGATTCAAGTACGGTGGAAACCAGGGTGGCTACGGCCAGTACAATCCCTATGGCCAGCAAGATGCCAACCCCTACAGCGACGCCAATGCCATGGAGCAAGGCAACGGTAGCTATGGTAAGCGCACCACGTTCAGCCCCTCTGTCTGACCCGACCATGGCCTAACCTGCGATCGCACATCAGAAATGGGCTCTTACAACCAGCCGGCCGACGCGACGACGCTGCTGAACAAGTGCCGAGAGATCAACGACGGTATTGCCGATCTCCGCGCCAAGCGCGAGGGCCAGCTTGCCGCCGCTCAGAACGCTTTGCTCGACTCGAGTACCGGAAAGGAGGACCAGGTCGCTCGGCAGACTCTGGACTACATCGAGGATGAAGTGAACAACGGATTCCGTTACCTCCGCGATCTTCTGAAGAAGGTCAAGCAGACCCCCGGTTCCGGAGACAGCCGTGTGCAGACCCAGATCGACGTCACTAGCCGGAACCTCCGTCGCGAGATCGAACAGTACCAGAGATGCCAGTCCGACTTCCAGAAGCGCCTGAGGGAGCAGGTTCGCAGACGTTATGAGATCGCCAACCCCGAAGCTTCCCCCGAGGAGATCGAGCAGGGTGTGGACAATGTCCTGTTGGGCCAGGAGCAGAGCTTCCAGGTATGCTCTTTCGAGGGACTTCAGCAAGTTCATGCTAACATTCGATTAGGTTACGGGCAGCCGGACTAGACAGGCCAACGACGCCAGGCAGGCCGCTTTGGAGCGATCGGCCGCCATTCGCAAGATCGAGCAGGATATGATGGAGCTGGGCCGCCTGTACCAGGAAGTGGCGGAGCTGGTCCACCAGCAGGAGCCTGCTGTGGAGCAGATCAACCAGGATGCAGACAATGTTGCGCAGAACGTTTCGAACGCGAACAACCAGATCACGGAAGCTATTGCCAGCGCTCGTCGGGCGAGAAAGTGGAAGTGGTATGCTCTGCTGGTCGTCAGTAAGTGTCCCGATACGATACCCCTTTATAGGCCAGGCTAACACTATCTCCAGTTCTCATCATCGCCATTGTCGTCGGTGTTGCCGTCGGTGTCACGGAAGCCAACAAGTCCTCGAAATAGAGCCCGTGATTTCTATGGCACTATGCTATACTTGGCTTGATCTGATGACTCGACCTTGCGCTGATATAAATGCTTCGCCATGCCAATGCCCTTCATCTCCAGATACCCTCCGAGGTATTAACCTTGTCCTGCTTCTGTTCGCTTTCCGTTCAAGTTTACGCAAGGCTGTAACGACCTCTTATCGTTTGTGTTCTCGTCCGATGCTCTACTTCTTGTCTACGCTTACGGTAAGCCGAGCCAGTCGAGGATCGTTCGCTTGCTGTGATTCTTCCGTTGTTATACCACTTTGTCGTTTTGCCTTGTCTTGGTTGAAAAGCACCCCACCTGCTGAATCGTCTCCTATGTCTGCTTGATCGCTCGTCGCTGTTTGTCTGTATCCACTGATCGGTCGTGTATAGTTTCTGCGTCTTGGGGCGTATGCGGCCTGATGAATTACTGTCGCTGCACGTTGGCTAGGATGCGCTTGATGCTATCGCAGTGTATATATTAGAGTCTCTTCGTTGCCCCTACCTTTGGCGCTAGAACATGTAATAATCCGACTACCTTAATAATAATATCCCTTGATGTATGTACGAACTGTATGCAGGACGCACTCGATCGACCGTATAATGCATTTATTCATGGGTATCGCAGATCAAGTCAAATGAAAGAACATCAACCCTTCCTGTATCTAGTACATGCTGTATATTGTATCAAGCCTTCGCCGCCTTCCTCTCCTCCTCCCGCTGTTCCTCCTCCGGCGTCTTCGTCCGAAGCTGCAGCGCATGGATGCCACCCTCGCGACTCATCTCCTCCTTCAACAAACCATAGACCATACGATGGCGCGCAGGCTGGGGCTTCGACTGGAATGAGGGCGATGTGATCGTCACACTAGACAAATATGAGTCAGATTGACAAGTATCAAGAGAAGATGGGCGTATTGACTCACTGGAAATGGGTCTCTTTCGAAGTCGATCCGCGCATGGCGTTATGATGTGCGTGCAGATGCGAGTCATTGCGGATGACGAGGGTGGAGGGGGTGAAGGCGGTTGTGAGCTTTGAGCATTATCAATTAGTATAACAATGTACTATCTGATAGTAGTCTATGTAGGTGGGTGGACATACCTTCTCCCGGATGAGATCTTCGACGGGGGTTGCGGAGGTAGAAGCCATTCTGGTAGCAGTAAGGGAGAAGACGCGGCGGGGGAGGAAGCCGGAGAGGGAGGCGCGGGGGAGCATTGAGGGGGAAGCGGTAGTCCCGGTGGAAGATAAGGCGGGGAGAGAGATATGATGCTGGGTAGTAAGTAGCTATTGAGATACGGAGGGGGGATTCTTGATGCTGAGAGATGAGAATCGGGAGACCGCAATTGGCCACGGAGTGGGCGGGTTACTGCTTTGGGAATGGTGCGGAGGTCGGGGGTTGTCCGTTGCTTCGTCACATTTAGATGCCTTTCAATACTAGATCATCACCCTGGCAGGCGTGTTATTCTTTCTTCCGGAAAGAACAAGCATCGGCCAATCTGACTGGTTCCATGCAAAGCTATCACCATCCTTCCTAACCTTAACATGCTGCTTCAGATGCATCTCCAACCACCGATAGCCGGAGCAAAGCAAGTGCCGTTGCCGAGACCGCAAAGCTCCGATGCGCTTCCTCCCCAAATGACATCAGTTCCGTCGCGCAATCCGCCTTTATCTTTTGCCTTGGGTATCGATCAATCCATTGATTGACGTGGTTTACCTGTGCAACGAGGCAATTTTAACCTCGAGATATCCTGACGGCTGCTGGGTCATGTCATACGGTTCCCACGCATCTCTTCAGTCATGTCCGGACGCACCTTGATGCCGCTCCTCTCCCGGGGCTCGATTGCTTCTCCGTCTCGTCAACATTCGCTCCACACCCTTCTAGCGTGGAGATGTGGTGCTCCTACGAGTAGCTCCCGGTCTTTAGTGACACCTCTCGCTCGTCGATCGATCTCCTCCCTGCCGAATCTACCTCTCTTCCGCGCCCTCCAGGACCACGATCAATCAAACCTGGCAGTGGTTCATAGCGCGTCTGCTCGATCGTTCACATACGGGAATCTGGTTGCCGACGTACTGCAAGCTAAGGACCGACTGCTTCAGTCTGCCGGAGGGGGAAAAGATGGACTGTCTGGCGAGAGGGTCGCGTTTCTGGCTGAGAATAGCTACGACTACGTAGGTACTGTGACCATCTCATATATGATATTAATGGGATACTCGCTGACAAACTGTACTAGTGACGCTGCTCTCCATCCTCGCGAGCGATGCCATTGCCCTTCCGCTGTCCCCGGCCTTTCCCGTGGGCGAACTGAAGTATATCATGGACAACTCACAGGCCAAGGTACTGCTTGCAACGGAGAAGTACGCAGCGAAGGCCCAAGAACTCGTCAAGGCAGGACTAGACCGGGAGCCTGTCCTAGACATCAAGGAGAAGATCAAAGTGGGCGCAAACAACGAGAGTTCAGTGTCATTGGAGGATATCGGAGTGGAATCGCGCGGTGGAATGATGCTCTACACATCCGGCACCACCAACAGACCCGTATGACCCTCCACACCACCACAAATCTACAAAACTAACAACCCGCAGAAAGGCGTCCTCATCCCCCAATCCGCCCTAACAGCCCAAGCGGCCTCCCTCCTCCAAGCATGGAACTACACCCCGCAAGACCGCCTCCTCCACCTCCTCCCCCTACACCACATCCACGGCACCGTCAACGCCATCGTGACGCCCATCCTGGCCGGCTCCTCCATCGAATTCATGTTCCCCTTCAACACCGACGCCGTGTGGACGCGCCTCGCCTCCCCATTCCTCCCCCAAGCCTCTCCATCCACACCACGCAGCAAAATCACCTTCCTCACAGCCGTGCCCACAATCTACAACCGCCTGCTAACCTCGTTCCCCAACCTCCCCACACCCACCCAAGAAGCCGCCCGACAGGCCATCTCCCCAGAGAACCTCCGCCTCAACATCTCCGGCTCCGCGGCCCTCCCCACCCCGACAAAAAAGGCCTGGTCGGACCTCAGCAACGGCAACATCCTCCTCGAACGCTACGGCATGACCGAAGTCGGGATGGCCATCAGCTGCGGGCTCGACTTCACCGACCGCGTCGACGGCAGCGTCGGCTGGCCCCTACCCTCAGTAGAAGCCCGTCTCGTCGACACCGAAACAAACGAAGTCATCAACCCGGGCGAAGAGCTCGACACCACCACAGGCCGTGAACGCGAAGGCGAGATCCAGCTCCGCGGCCCCACCATCTTCAAAGAATACTGGGCCAACGAAAAAGCCACGCAAGAATCCTTCGTCCCTGACGAAACAGACCCCGAAAAAAGACCGTGGTTCAAAACCGGCGACGTCGCCGTCCGCAGACCCGTCCCCACCGCCGGCCACGGCTCAAGCGGTGAATGGGCCCAAGGCCCAATGTACTTCATCCAGGGTCGTCGAAGCGTCGATATCATCAAGACGGGCGGAGAGAAGGTTAGTGCGTTGGAAGTCGAGAGGGAGTTGCTTTCGCTGTGAGTGCCCCTATTCCATCTACAACATTAACCACCACCACCACTACCATTCACAAAATACTGATAGTTGGTATAGTCCCCAAATCGCCGAAGCCGCCGTCGTAGGCCTCCCCTCGGAACAATGGGGCCAGAAAGTCGCCGCGATCGTGGTCCTCAGGCCCGAGTATAGAAGTAAAGGAGGTGGGAAGAATGGGGATAAGCCCTGGGGTGCGATGGATATGCGCAGGGCGTTGAAGGATCGGTTGGCCGGGTATAAAATGCCGCAGGAGATGAAGGTCCTGGAGGGGGTGATTCCTAGGAATGCGATGGGGAAGGGTGAGTTTATTCCGTTGACTTTCTTTTCGCTCTCTTTTTTTTTTGGTTTATGTTGGTTTGGGATGGTTTACTGACTGACTATGTTGTGGGATTTAGTTAATAAGAAGACACTGGTTAAGGAGGTTTTTGGGGTTTAGTGGTGGTATATATGGATGGGATGGATAGTATGGAGTACATAGGGAGAAGGACTGTGTGTATGATAGGGTGAATATACATGGATGAGATTGTATGAATGGTTGGGTTGGATTAGTATGTATGGCTGAGCCATTTCTCTGCTCATTGAGAGTGTATACGTAGACGCCGCGTATAGCAGTAGGGATGCATGCTGAGTCCAGTCTAAATGATGTGTATATTGTTTGTTAAGTTAGTCCTTTATCTATTTACTTTTGTTTACTAAGGGATACTCTAGATATTACTTGACAATGAACATAGATGAAGCAGTTACAAGAATGAGGGAATCAAATCACCGTCGAGGGTAAAGCCAATCATCCTTCCCCATGCTGATTGTTCGAAGTAATCCCTGTAACTTAGATACCTCCCGATAAGTGAAGTCCATGTGGAAAGAATCGGTGAGCATACTATAGAGCCGTACTGGCAACATCCCAACCTAGCATGGCATCTTGGTCCGAGTACCAACCAAGTAGGGTAAGTTCCTGCGAGGTTTCTGCTAATCTTCTGAACTCATGGCAAACATCTTCATCACCAGTATTCTGAAATCCCACCGCTACTTACTGTTTACCAACCCTAGTTCGTCTACAGCCACTCGGGAATCCCGATTATATCAACGGTGGCGGAATGGGCCGCTTGTTGGCGTGATTGCTGCAGTTGTCCTGCATGAGACAATCTCCTTTTCCCTCAGTGGCCGTCTCTTATAGTGAACCATGATATGATTGACTGGGTCGTTGAGAGAATAATTCTATAACATAGTATGCATTTGATAAGAAAGTACTGTCCACCATATGGAATACTGCAAGGCCTCGCTTCTTACTAATGACTCAACAGGCCTATTTGGATATCGGAGAATATGGCATACGTATGTGCGTCATAACATAGCCCCGTGCATGTGGCTTATGTCACTAGTATTGGTCCTGCTCGTAAATCATGCAGTCCTAAAGCAAACCTGCGTCGGATGTCCTGGACAGTATTCGGAGAATATGCGGTGGCGGCTACAGCGGATGTCCGCTACAATCAGTCGGACGCAGGCAGAAACCCTAGAGTAATTGTAAATCTGATATTGGAGCGGTTTATAACACAGTTCCTGCATTCATATGGTCAGTTAGCTGCTTAACCGTAGACTGTTGAGATCGACCGACAGACGGGATGACACGCTGGATATAATATTGCCGGTCCAGATCCAATGACACTGGTACACAACTAGGCTGAAAGCTTATAGTCCTGGATGAATGGTATTAATATAACACGTCCCTCTTACAACAAAGCCATTGTGTCGGTCAGACTATCGAAGTCTTAATCACAATCATGATCAGCTTACGAGTACTCACCTCGGCCCTAGCACAGCTGCAAGCCAGATGTCTGTTCGCTCAGCCACCTTCTGCTCAGTAGCACCCGAATATAGCAACGTGATCTCGACAAGTGGGTTACTCGAGATTGTGATCGTCGACGACTATTTGCTATTCCTGGTGACACTATTCCGACTATGGTGATTCTCTGGCGCTAATTCGGTGTATCCAGATCCTCATTCGAGACTTGTGTCTAACCGGGATATAACGTAGCTAGTTTAGCCGCAGACTTCAATGGAAGCAGAAAGCCACACGATAGGTACCTTCTGGACAACCGCCTATCGTAAACATGAGTCAGGTCTGGCTGAATGCGCCGAACTCCAACGAGTCAATGCAGTGGACGGACTTTCGCCCCGACTTCAAGGTCTGAAGATGAGAGCCTCTTAGCGTTGCTCGTCAAGGGGATTCGCAAGGTGTGCATGCCTCCTGCGCAGAGTCTGTTACTATATATGGGTAGCTGGTATCAATCCAAATTACACCGATAAGATGCAATCTTTGATGAAAAATCAAGAAAAATTGACGGTTTCTCATGATGTACACCCTTCTTCTACCACTCTTGGTTGTCTTTTGTGTCTCTGTGAGAACGATCTACCGTATCTACTTTCACCCCCTTAGCAAAATCCCAGGGCCCAAACTAGCAGCTGCCACTCACCTGCATGAATTTTACCACGATGTTATTCGTGGTGGAAAGTTCATATGGGAAATCGAGAAGATGCATAGAGCATACGGTATTCTGCCGGACCACTGTTAATGCACAATACTGACAATACATGAAGGCCCTATCGTGCGAATAAACCCGCGAGAAGTCCATATTGCCGACCCGTCTATGTATGACGAGATCTATGCTGGGTGTAGCCGGAAACGTGAGAAGGATCCACGCATGGTATCATCATATGCATCATCATATGCGGCGCTAGCAACCGTCGATCATGATCTTC